AACCCCAAAACTCTTGGGCTGAAGCGATTCTCTTGCCTCAGCCTCCCAAGTAGCTGGGACTATAGGCACCCGCCACAATGCCTGGCTATTTTTTTTTTTTTTTTTTTTTGAGACAGTCTCATTTTGTCGCCCTTGGTAGAGCGCTGTGGCATCAAAGCTCACAGCAACCTCTGGCTCTTGGGCTTAGGCAATTCTCTTGCCTCAGCCTCCCTAGTAGCTAGGACTACAGGCGCCCACCACAATGCCCAGCTATTTTTTTGTTGCATTTTGGCGGGGGCTGGGTTTGAACCCACCACCCTCAGTATATGGGGCTGGCGCCCTACTCACTGAGTCACAGGTGCTGCCCATGAGCTGATTTTTTTAAAACAGAGACAGGTCTTGGGGTGCAGTGGCATGGTCATAACTCCTGGTAGCCTCAAACTCCTAGGTTCCATTGATCCTCCCACCTCAGCCTCCTGAGCAGCTAGGACTACAGGAGTGCACCATCAGACCTGACTCATTTTTCTTATTTTTTTTGGTACAGATGGGGTCTCACTACATTGCCCAGGCTGGTCTTAACTCCTGGCCTCAAGCCATCCTCCCACCTTAGGTCCCAAAGTGCTGGGATTACAGATGTTGAACCCACTCTGATTTTTATTTGCTTCCTGACCTCTTATGCTTTATAGGACACACACACAATCTGTTTTCATGGTCCCTGGGATAAAGGGGTCAGGCCACTGCTTACAGCCACGTCTGGTTGGGAGCTTGGCATCCTTGGCTCTGCTGGTTGTCCTATGGGCTGAGGGCCCTTATAGACCCCTGCAGCCCACTGTAGTGCCCCAGTGAGCTGGGGGCAGGTGTAAGAGGAGGCAGACAGGGAGGAGGTGAGAGGCGAGAGAGTTGGTGTGCAGTGGGGGACAGGAGAATGCAGGCTTGGGTCAGATTTGGGAGGCTGTGGGGGCTTAGGGATCAGTGAGAAGGTGGCAACTGCTGTGAGGTCTCTGCCTGGTTTGAGGCCACTGCAGCAGTGCCACCTGGAGCCAAAACCCTACATGAGCACACAGCAAGTAGACTGTCGGCCCCACAGGGATGACTGCTCCCATCTCCACCATGTTTATTCTCTCAAACCAGCAATTCCAAACCTGACGCCACACTCTGGGCCTGCCTGTGGGGCAGTGCCAGCTACAAACACTGTCACACTGAGTGAAGGGACGACCTCTCCAGCCTCAGTTACCTAACAAACCTTTTCTAAACAATAGAGTGACTCCGAAATGAAACCCAGGGACGCTCCTATTAAAACGGCAGTGATCCCAAGTCAGGAGGGCTCAAATGTTTTTAATAATTGGGCAACACATTTTAAAAATAACAGTGAGTTTTTGCTGCCACTGTAGTGCTGGGACTTCAGGGGTAATCCAAAGTGCAGGTCCAATGCGAAGTGACTGGACCACTTCAGGTGAAGTGGGGCCACTACTAACAGTAGATAGAAGAAATACGACAAAGTCAAGCATTAGTGCATCTCAGAGGTGTGACACCGTCCTCAGATGCCAGACAGGGCAGCCCAGAGCAAGGTGCCCTGGGAAGGAAGGAGCCAGCCGTTGGAGAGGCACTGAGGAGGACGGCATGCAAAACCCTCATTTCCGCTGTCATCGCCACATCATTGTCAACAGTTCAGCAAGTGGCAGGGTTTTCAATGCGAGCTTGCAGGAGTTAAGCACAGAAAGTAGGCAGCACTCATGCTCCTAAGCAAGACCACAGGATAAACAACAGCAGACACCTTCACGCCGGTCCTGCCATCCTGTAGCAAGAAGTGCCCTCAGCCCCAAATCCTGGCCTCTCTCACCCTGGCAGGCCTCTTGCTCCTACAACTGCCAATCCTTGCTGATCTGCCTAGTCTGACCTAAGACCCTGGTTGTGGAACTGCTGAAAAGTTATTCGGATTTTTCTTATGCGCAGCTGCAGTTGAGAACTGCTTTTGAAGGGAAAACATACATGGTGTTGCCTTACGTAAGCCTGCCCTGGCTCTTCCCTGCAAGGGGAACCCAGCCGGTCCGTCTGCCCTACTCTGAGGCCCTGCAGAGCTGTCCCGCCTCAGCTCTCTCCACCTCCCCTCAGTCAACGGCTTTCCAGCCACCTGGCCTCTGAGTCCTCCACACGAGAGGAGAGGCTCTTATCTCGGGCCTCTGAACTTGCCTTTCCCATTTTGATCCACAGGTTTTACGGGGCTGCCCCTTCACATTATTTACATTTCAACTCAGAGGTCACCTCCTCAAAGATAGCTTTCAGAGCCACCTGAGCTAAAGCAGATTACCCCTGCCACAGGCACGCTCTATGCCATTATTCTGTTTATCTTCTTCAGAGCATTCATCAGAACTCAAATCATCTCATTTGTTCAAATCAAATTATTTGTTCCCCTACTTATTGTCTGTCTCTCTTCCCGAGACTGTAAGCTCTCTGAGGGCAGGACTGTTAGCCCAGAATAACAACTGGCACTTAGTAAAGTAAGACTGTATTAGAAAAGCAGCAGACTGGCACATGACGGTAAAGCAAGCTGCCTGCAACACCTCCAGTCATGGTATCACAGGTGACGTGAGCACCCTGCACTTCCTCTGTCTCCTTTTCTCCTTGGTTCTATCTCTTCATCTACATCAGAGATCAGACAGGCAAACGGGTGACACAGGCAGGGAGTCCTGGTGAACTGCACACCACACCCTGGGCTTCAGGGTTGGTACTACCCAGCTCCAATCACTTCCCATTGGACTACACAGAATGGACACTCAGGGCTGCCAGATTTTCTGATGTTTCACAAGAAGTCATAAATCTGAATTCTTCTATGAGATTTTTCTACTTTTTGAATGTTGGCAACTAATCAAAAGAAAATGCTTGTGGCCAAGCGTGGTGGCTCACACTTGTAATCCTAATACTCTTGAGAGGCCAAGGTGGGTGGATTGCTTGAGCTCAGGAGTTCAAGACTAGCCTGAGCAAGAGCAAGACCCTACCTCTACTAAAAATAAATAAAACTAGCTGGGCATGGTGGTGCATGCCTATAGTCCCACCTACTCCAAAAGCTGAGGCAGTAAGATCATCTGAGCCCAGGAGGTTGAGGTTGCAGTGAGCCACAATAATGTAATTGCCCTCATGGCTGGGCAACAGAGCAAAACCCTGTCTCAAAAAAGAAGGAAAGAAAAGCTTGTATGTCAAACAATTATGATGTTCAGATGGAGACATGTAATCTCTGGGATCTCTTTTCAGACTGTTAACCTGATAACAGGGTTTTCCGGGCTAGACAGAGCCCCCCATTTTTCTAGGCCTGAGCAGGCTCAGGTCCAGACCACATCTCTAGGTACAAATAGGTTCTCTGCAGACCACATTCTCTGGATGAACACACTCATAAAAAGCAGCCTGACCAGTGTCTCCCCTGGGCTGCCTCTCTCAGAACAGACCCTACTGCTTCTCCCAGAGCAGAGAAATGTGCCTCAGGCAGGACCATGTTCCTACACAGGGACAGTTTTGAAATTAATTTCTGCCCATAGGCCCCTGGCCAATTGTGACATGTGGCAGAAATACATTCCATCTCCCTAAAACCCCCTGCCTGCAGGATAGCAAAAGCAGTACGTCAACCCTTAGACAGAAGGCCCAAACAGGCCTCCCTCTTGGGCTCCCCCTTTGCCATCATGGAGGTTTCCTGTCTTTCTTTTTATCTTTCAATAAACTGTCCTTTCACTTACTCCCGTGGTCCATGGATTCATTCTTAAACCCTGGGACCAAGGACTTGGCAGATACAGAAATTCCAGCTACAAGACTGTCTCTGTCTTTCTCTGACTGTAAACTTATCTCTCTTCATCAATCCTTGTTGACTGAGGGACGACCAGTTCTATCAGCTTTGGGTAAAGTAGTTTCAAACTTTTTTGACAACATATAGTATGAAATTAATTTATAATATGACCTGAACATACCCTGAAGATGCAAGTAAAGTCTCTTGAAGCAATACTTACCCTTACTACAGGTAATGTACCCTGACACTTTCTATCACATTCTGTTCTACTTAATTTTTTTTAAATGCTGGTGTGAGCCACTAAATTGGTTGTCATCCCACTAATGGGTCCTTGCAGGCAGTTTGGAAAACCTTTAGTATGCCCTGGATGGTGGTTGATTCCAGTTGTTGGTGACACTGCTTAGGATGTGAGATCTTTCCCAGGTTTAGATATTCAGCAGCGATTCTGTGGCTGTAGATAAAGTCCCATTCAAGTATTGTTTACATATTCACATGGGATCAGAAAGGTATTATCAAAGAGCCAAGCTTAGTATACATTATAACAATCTTGTAATTCCCATTAGTTTTTTAATGAAATTAAGAACTCTTTGAACTCTAATTTAAAAATCACTTATTTCTGGTATATGTGAACCATCCATGAGGAAATACTTATCCTAATATTCTTTTCCTATCATATTGTGTTTTTTAAAAACTGTGATATTTAGCTAGTTTTTATAAATGCCCAGAAAATATATATTAACAGTGTTTCTTAACCAGCTTTTGCCTAATATTAACTAAGTCTTAATTAATATAAAAATAATCTGGGTTTAGAAAAAAATCATATAAAATAGCTTTTGTGTGCAAATTCAAGAAATATGCTGGAGCTGAAAGGATGCTCCATGGCCTTACAGTCAGTGGGAGGAAGGGATCTGTCCAGCAGAAGGGCTCCCTGGGAGGCTGCCCTGAATAAGCGAGCCCGGGCACTGCTTATTCTTCTAATCTTCGCAGGGTCCACGGGTGGTTTAGGAAAGGAAAAGCAGTTATCTTCATCTGTGGGAGATGCTGGAACTTTGGGTTTCTGGAAAGAGATCGTATAAATTTTTGGTATGAGTTTCTGGGTCTCAAATAAGCCTCACTACCCTACAGCTGGCTCTGACCCTTCCAGAAGAGCACCAGGGCCTTCTGCTTGGTTTCTTCCTAGGCTCCTAGTTCCATCTCCTGTCTCATTGGCCCATCTTACTTAACATGACATACGGTATAATTGTTTGATCAATTATTTTGTATTAACTACTCTGCTGCACTGCTTAGCATATTTGAAAAAAACGTATCCACTTTGGCAAACAGATATTATCCATATAAGAGAGGGTAAGATGTATATATTTATTTTTTTTATTTAAACAGAGGGTCTCTCTCTGTCACCCAGGTAGGAATACAGTGGTTATAATCATAGCTCACTACAGCCTAGGACTCTCTGGTCTCAAATGATCCTCCACCTCAGCCTATTGAGTAGCTGGAACTATAACCACGTGCTTTATAAACTATAGTATTAAATATAATATGTTCGATGTACTTTGCAAATTTTTGTGCTTAATTCAGCTCAGAAAATACTTACTAGGCCTTATATGTGCCAAGAATTAAGTGGAATATAAGTGTTCCCTTTACATATTTTAGACTCTGAAATGTGTAAAGAATTTTTAATTTAGATTAAAATGTCACAAAAAATAAAAGGAAGAAGTTGTCTTAGACTTAAATGATATAAAAATGTTTTATTTTTTACATCTGAAGAATTCTGTACTGATACACCTCCCCCACCAAGGGTGCTGATGTTAATATATGCTTAGAAAAGGAACACTACTAGCAAAATTCTAATTCCTTACAAACTTAAAAAAAAAAACACCTACCACACAAGGGTGGGAACCTGTGGTCTTCTGATTTCTATTCTTTTTTAAGCATCAAAGGAGGCAAGAAAATCTTCACCCCTTTTACCAAAAGGATTTGTTATGTAAAATTTGGATTTAGTCAAAAGGCTGCAGTTAAGTACCAGGAAAGCCTCATGTTTCCTTAAAGCCACAGGTTCCCCATCCCTTACAGGGGACTAAGCTAAAGGCCTTTGTTGCCTTGTGGGTCTATGCTTCCTGCCTCTAACTTCGGTACACTTATTTTCAATGAAAGAACAAAGTTAGCTCAGCATTTTTAGCTCTCAAACCAAAAATAATCAAGGTAATGTTCCTAAAATTATTTCTATAATCTGTGAAATGGGTGGCTTACTATCCAATAAGTTAATCAACAGATTTTTTTTTTTTAAATCCTGTGTGAAATTCAAGTTGTATCATTTGGAAAAATGGATGAAGAAATCTATCTCACATGACACATAACCTCAAGCACTTTTCCTAACATGCAGGAATAGATATATCAGAGTTCTCCTTCCAAGAAGTTGCTTATTTCAATAATGATGACATTCTTTGAAATAACTTTTTTTGTTCTAAGAGACAGGGTCTCACTCTGTCACCCCAGCTAGAGTGCAGTGGCCTCATCATAGCTCACTATCTCAAACTCCTGGGTTTAAGAGAGCAAGCCTCCTGCCTCAGTATCCCAAGTAGCTAGACTACAGGCATCTGCCATCACATCTGGCTAATTTTTCTAGTAGAGACATGGTCTATCTCTTGCTTAGGCTGGTCTCAAACTCCTGACCTCAAGCAATCCTCCTGTCGTGGCCTCCCAGAGAGCTAGGATACAGGTGTGAGCTACCACACCAGGCCCCGAATACTTGTTATTTATTCTTGTTCATTTGCACTCAGAATCACTTTATGAACGAGACCAAAAAAAAAAAAAGTATATGTTGCAACAGTGGAGACACAATTTCCTAAACACACTTAAAAAGGGGTAAATAAAATATTAACCATAATATAAAAGAAAGACTAAATCACTTTGGGATCGAACAGACTGGGAATAACACCTTCTAGATATGTGAACTGCGCAGGCCACTTACTTCTCAGAACTTGCCCAGCTGTAATACAGTGACAGTAGCCTCCTTCTTACAGGGTCATTGACAAAAGTACAATTCCTGTTACAGAAGTTCAAGAAATGCTAGTCCCCTTCCCTATACAAGTCACTCACCCTCATCAGATTTGGTTGCAAGTTACTTTTAACTCTTCTCAAAAGTCAAGGCCCTAGCCTCTGACACAACCTTGCTGGAATAAAGACACTGGATTCTGAAGTGTCTATTCTGAAAGAGATAACACTTACCTACGTAAGTTTTGCTATATTTTGCAATAATCATTTTACCTTTTAGTTTCTTCAATTTGTTGCAAAATATTCATAGGAATGTGACTTAGGCCAAGAAGCTAATAGTAACAGAAAAAGTCAGAGTGTAATATGGAAAACAAGGGCTTCATATGTATTTAATAATTATAAATGGTGGAATACACAGGACAATCTCAATTCTGAAGGGAGATATGAGGTTTTCTTAACTCAGTATGTCTGTATATTGCAGGTTCCCTTGAAACAGAAACAAAGATCAAGAAATCTGCCAAATAATCATAATGCAGTTAAAAGAAATGGCTCCTTTTATAGACACATGGACCAATATTAATGTTTTGGGCACTAAATAAAAGATCTTATGAAAAAGGAAATACAGTTTGGAAAGCTAAATTTTCCCCCAAAGAGAGTAACTGAATTATCTCTGGAGGGTGAGATAAAGCCCCACAACTGCTCCGTGATAAAAGGCATTCTTTTCTTAGTGCAAAACCAGCAATTGTTTGTAATGATGAAACTTTAGTTCCATTTTACTATTGATCTTTAATGATTTATTCCATTCAAATATGTATTGCACTGGACTACTTAGAACAGGTGTCCTCAAACTATGGCCTGCGGGCCACATGGGTTTGCCTAGGACATTTATCCGGACTGCTGGGTGTTTTTGCCACCAATGCCTCTCCTGCTTAGCAGCTGACTTGTCCTGGGGTCCGCAGTCCAGCCCTCCAACAGTCTGAGGGACAGTGAACTGGCCCCTTGTTTAAAAAGTTTGAGGACCCCTGACTTAGAACATAAAGTGATAGAGGGAAAGCATTCTTCATTCTCCAAGAGAAAACTACTGAACAAGCCAGTAATCTCTTGCATGCCAGGTCTACAAAATGTTCCTCCACTTTGTGGAGCAAAGTGGCATTTATGAAGAAAACCAGCACAAGCTTTTCCTTAGACAATTCTGTTGGCTGGGCGCCTGTGGCTCAAGTGGCTAAGGCACCAGCCACATACACCTAAGGTGGCGGGTTCAAATCCAGCCCTGGCCCACCAAACAACAATGACGGTTGCAACCAAAAAATAGTCAGGCGTTGTGGCGGGCGCCTGTGGTCCCAGCTACTTGGGAGGCAGAGGCAGGAGACTTGCTTGAGCCCAGGAGTTGGAGGTTGCTGTGAGCTGTGATGTCATAGCACTCTACCCAGTGTGACAGCTTGAGGCTCTGTCTCAAAAAAAAAAAAAAAGAAAGAAAATTCTGTTAATTTTAGAAATCAGAGAATGTTGCCAGTAAGGAACTCATATAGACCTGTGGTAGGGGGCGATCCATGTGAAGAAAAGCACAGTTAAAATAATTTTATCATAAGGACATATGCACTAGATTATTTATCGCAGCTCAATTTGCAATTGCCAAGATATGGAAACAAGCTAATTGCCCTCAACTCCGGAAAGGATTAACAAACTGTGGTGTATGTATACCATGGAATGCTATTCAGCCATTAAAAACATGGAGACTTTACATCTTTTGTATTTAACCTGGATGGAACTGAAACACAGTCTTCCCAGTAAAGTATCACAAGAATGGAAAAGCAAGAATCCAATGTACTCAATGCTAATATGAAGCCAGTAGATGATCTAATTCATACCCACGTAGGAGAAAAACTCATTTCAATTCAAGTTGGGGGGGAGTGGAAACTTTGATGGGGGAAGGGGCATGAGGGAGGTAGAGGGGGCATTTGAGGTGCTCCCACTGAATGGACACAATGTGGGGTATATGGCAAATCTTTAGGGGATAGGACATAACTACAAGAGAAACTCTACCTAACAAGTTCAAATATTGTGAGTTGGTTGTTGGCGTCCTCATATTAACCTGAAACTAAAAAAACAAAAAAAGGAAAGCAGAGTTGGGTCAAAGCAGTGTTTTTCCTTCACCGTTTCTGACAGGAAGGGTAAGTTCCATTGGTGAGTCACATGCCGAGAGTGACTGTGGAGAGGAGCCCGGAGCACCTGTGGAGAAAATCAAAGTTACAGCCTGTGCACCCAGGATGGCCACCTCTCAAAGGCTGGGTGCTTGGGAGAATTTTCAGTATTTGCTTTCACTCCCAAGGTGGCTTTTCTTGCATGTGTGTGATTACACGTGTGTTCTGCTGCTTTACAAACTAAATCGTGGGCACCTTTCTGAGGTGGATATTCCTGACTCCCTTTTCCAGTCATCATGTAGGGTGGGAGAAGACTCCACCTGGCCCTGCAGAGGGACTGGGCCAGAAGCTGGTGGAGGGCCACAGAGCTGGGGTGATCCGTGGCCAGTTGAAGCCCATTCACGGGACATTTAAGCTCTCTGCTTGTGTCCTCCTTCACGGGGGCAGAGCCCGTGGCTCAGTGAGTAGGGCACTGGCCCCATTTACCGAGGGTGGCTAGTTCGAACCTGACCCCAGCCAAACTGCAACAACAAAAATTAAAAATAGTCAGGTGTTGTGGCAGGCGCCTGTAGTCCAAGCTACTTGGGAGGCTAAGCCAAGAGAATCGCCTAAGCCCAAGAGGTGGAGGTTACTATAAGCTGTGATGCCACGTCACTCTACCAAGGACGACAAAGTAAGACTCTGTCTCTAAAAAAAAAAAAAAAAAAAAAACAGCTCAAATCCATGCTGTTAGAAGAAGACAGTAGTTTCCCTGGGGAGACAGTGGCTCAGAGGGGCTATCAAGAAGATATGATCTACTTGATAACGGGGTTAATCATCTATTTTTTACTTTTTGAATGCTGGTCACTAAGTGTGTTTCATTTGCGTAGATTTAACAAGCTACACTCTCGAGACCTACTACTTTGCTGTATGTTACTAAAAAGTTGAATATTCTTCTTTATTCAGGCTTTTAAAATATATATATGTGTGTGTGTGTATATATATATATACCTGACTAGGTATACCTGACTAGGATTTGTAAGTTAGAAAACAGAAGAATTCTGCTTTGATGATGATAATGATGAAAGACAAAATTTACTGTTCATTCACACAGTCATACCTCTTTTCTAACTTTATACAATCAAAGTAAAAGGAAATTTTTTCTGTGTAAATACATTTGAACACCACTAACTAGCATGGCAGAAAGAAAACAGTAATAACTGCCACCCAACGGCCCCAGGTCTCAGAGCTCTTGTGGGAAGGTAGGGGAAAAAAGATGTACCTGGCACATCTGTAAAGCAGGTAGATATAAATGTCAATGGAACATTATCACTTATGTGCAAATCACAGTGCTTTTCCCTCTGCCTGGCAACCGTAGGTACTAAGAGAAGTCCCCCTGAGCCAGTCGGGACAGTGGCCAAGGCCTGAGCAATCAAGAACCAGGAGCATCAGCCTCTCCGTTATTCTCCAACACCCGGGCTTCTCTGACTGCAGGCAGCTGAAAGGTGTTGGAGAGTACAGGCCAGAGAGGAACAGGAGAGAGAGAGAGAAGGTAACTGTCCAAAAGCAAAGAGTGTATGTCAGGCACAGTGGCTCATGGCTGTAATCCCAGCACTCTGGGACTCTGGGAGGCTGAAACAATAGAATCACTGGAGGTCGGGAGTTCAAGAACAGCCTAAACAAGAGCAAGACCTCATCTCTACAAAAAATAAAAGCAAAAACATTAGCTGGGGGCGGTGGTGCACACCCCTAGTCTTAGCTGATTAGAATACTGAGGCTCACTTCAGCTCAGGAATTTGAGCTATGATGACATACTGTACTCCAGCTTGGGTGACAGAGAGAGACTCTATCTCCAAAAAAAAGAGCAATCTAAACCAAACCAACCACACAAACAAAGAAGACTTTAGCTAATCTGTTAAGCCCAGGAGCTGAAATGGGCTGATCACTGGGTCCCCCTTCCTGACTGACAGCTGGTTGAGGAATTATTAAAAGGCAAACTAGTCTGAGACAGTGTCCCAGATTCAAAAAGTGCTGAGATTTAATTAGTTAGGACGGTTTCAAAACCTCTTGCAGAAACTGTGTCCTTGAACCCTGAGCCACTCCCCTCCACTCTGTCTCCTCTCTCCCCAGGGGTCTCCTTCTCCCAGCTCCTCTCTCCAGGGTTCCCTTATCGTCCAGCTTCGTCAGGTTAGTGGTTACCAGAGTCAAAAGCCTCTTTAAAGGAAAGAAGGTGGAGGGCAGTTATCATGAGGTTAGTTTCAAAAATTTTTGGCTGGGAACCCCTAACTTTAATTATTGTTTAAAATAAAATGTATTTAAGACCCTTACATAAGCCACCATCACAAAAAAAAATTTCAAACTAAAGTGATAATTTTACTTAACATGCGGATTTCTTAGACTACTTTTACTTTGAACATAGCACCTAGCTATTCTGTAGGAAAGAAATTTCAGTTCCATGCTGCTAAACAGAGGTAAATGCCAATATTACCTTAGCCCAACACCTAATCCTGCACCAGTTTCACAAGCACCAGGTTAACTCTAGAAATAGAGATTTTTAGGGAAGAGTAAGCCCAAATCAAGTGAGTCCTCTCCCACCCTGCTAACTACAGTAATATCGAAAGTAATTTATAGGAGTCAAATCACAGAATCATAAAGCAAAGAGCCACTCTACCATAAGGTCGACCCACTGGGCTGCCAAACTGAGCCCTCATGCCATAGCTGGCCCAATACCCAAGTGGTTTCCATGATCACACATGTAAGAAGCCATGTGTCAATCATAGCTGGCAAATTATTTATTGCATATTGGTTCACGTTTAGTATTTGAGGGTCTTATTTTTATCATCTGCAATATAAGAACAAGTGTTGTCTTGCTCATAGAGGCAGTCTAAGAAGTATTTAAGAACTGAAAACTACATCTTGAGTCAATTAAGGTCAGGAACTATAAACATGGACTATACATTAAATGATATTACTGAGTAATGCTAATTGTTTGAACTGTGACGATAGTATTGTGGTTATGTAGGAGTCTGCCCTTGTTCATAAGAAATGTATACTTAAATTTTGTGGATGAAGTATCATAATGTCAACTTATTTTCACATAGTTCATCAAAAGCAAACACATGCACACATACACACACATACATACACACACAGACAGTAACAGAAACTGAGAAGCAGTTTGACTAATAGCCCAATCCCATGCAAATCTAAGGAGCCAGTATCTCCAAATTCTTCTGGTAGCAGAAGTATAAAGGGTGGGGTGGCTAAAATAAGGAGGTTTGGCTGAAACTCTGTGTAATTCCTTTCCTCCCAGCTCCATGCAGTAGCTCTCCTGAGCTACTGAGCCCAGGAGAAGACAGAAGGTTTATTCTTTAAGCAGGTGAAACAGAACATCTCTAACTCAGGTCAATAAGTAAGGGTACCATTATAATAAGCAGCCTTATTGTTGAGTGGCAAAGTGTTCATCATAAATATGGATATTAACTGAATATGTTTTCCTAAATGCTAGCCATTCCCACCTTCTTCTTACACCTGGCTCTTAGAAGGTAGCAACTGGCTTTTAACTTCCAGAAAAGAGCTTGGAAGACACTTGTTTACAGGGAATGTGACTAGCCAATAAAGAAAGCCCTAAAGATACTGCTGCTGGGTGTCAGCAACTACACAGCCCAGCCTGGGTAAATATCTGCTGTAGGTTGACCAACCGTGCCTATATGTTCCTACTATTGATAGCAGCCAAACAAGCAGCATGAGCCTTTGGTATAAAAAATAAACACAAAAATGCAACAGAGATTGATTAAAAAGAGAGAAGAAAACTTAGTTAAATAAAACTATCACTAACAGATTCAAATAAGATGCTGCAATCATAAAACAAGAACATAACACTACATAAGAAGAGATTATTTACAAAGAAAAACATTTTTAAAAATTACAAACATTTTTAAAAATTACAAACATGATGGCAGAAATAAAAATAACTCAATAGGCTCGGCGCCTATAGCTCAACCGGCTAAGGCGCCAGCCACATACACCTAAGGTGGTGGGTTCGAATCCCCAGCCCGGACCCGCCAAACAACAATGACGGCTGCAACCAAAAAAAATAGCCGGGCGTTGTGGCGGGTGCCTGTGGTCCCAGCTACTTGGGAGGCGGAGGCAGGAGAACTCGCTTGAGCCCAGGAGTTGGAGGTTGCTGTGAGCTGTAATGCCACGGCACTCTACCCAGGGGGACAGCTTGAGGCTCTGTCTCAAAAAAAAAAAAAAAAAATAACTCAATAAAGGGATTAGAATAAAGTCTCTTCTAAAATAAGATGTGAAACAGAAAACAGAAAATAAGAAAACTGAAGTTCCAGTCCAGGAGATCTTACACCTAAGTAATAGAGTCTAGAAAGAGCAAATGGAACAAAAAAAGTAGGGAAGACGCTGTCAAAATAATGTAAGGACATTTCCCAGAGCTGAAGAACATAAGATTCCACATGGAAAGGGTCCTTCAAGCACCCAGTGTGACAAGTGAGATTGGACTCACGCAAAGGCTCATTGTTACGAATTTCAGAACACTGGAAACAAAGAGAAAAATCCTACAAACTTCCAGAAGGGAAAACCAGGAATCAAAGTCTCAGATAATTTACTTCCCATGCATCTTTTCTCAAGAAGCCATGGGAGGGAATGCTCTACCAAATCAGGGTAAATGAAGAGAAAGGACTTGGGATACAGGAAACAGGAAAAAGCCAGCACAAGAGGAAGGAGCTGTCTCCCCAGGATGATGGTGGGGGTGCCCGAGGAGAGCTCTGCCCTAGGTACCCAGGGCAAGTGGTCTGACAGGAAGTGAGTCAATAGAATACTGCACGTGCCTGACTATAAAAGGAGATTTGGACCACAGGAGAGGAGTTTGGGGTTGAGACAGCAATAACACGAAACTGAAAAAGCAAAGCAATTATAATATTAACACCAGGAAAAACAGACAGTGCTGCAGGAAGGGAGACGTAATCATCACTAGCCATCATTAATTCAAGGCTCAGCTATGAACAGAGTTAATCATAGAACAAGCAGATCCAACCGCGGCTATGGGATACCTCTATTGCAATAGCGGTGGGGACAGGAAGGGTGAATGTGTCCTGAAGGGAGGTAAATAGCTAAACCTTCGTCTTCCTTAGCGGGAAGTCATTAGATAATTTCTCAAGCTCACAAGTCAGAGAGCAGCAAGACAATGCGGGACTTAGGAACTTGGAAGGATCCCAAAAGAATGCGTCAAAAGGATTTAAGGTGAAAGCCACTGGGGAAGGGACAATGAAGAAGGAGGGGAAAGGAGACTGCGGGTTCTGTTGGTGGTTTTGTAATCAATCTCTGACTATACACATAAGTCTATATTATATATCAACTTCCCATGCATCTTTTCTCAAGAAGCCATGGGAAGGAATGCTCCCATGTAATATCAATTGTAGATATAATTTTTGTACATACAACTGTTAAGAAAATTATATCACTTAAAGAAAAAATACTGTGAAACATTGTTTACCAAGTTACTGTATATTTTTAAAATTCTTCATTATCAATCTATAGGTAAATTATAGAAGTGTTTCGTTAGATATTAACTGTTATATTTGAAAAACATAAAAGAATCTGCCTCCGTATCAAATTATTAATACATTTAGGTCTACGTAATATATGCTATCTTAGCACATGCTGATTTCAAGTATTTTTGGCCAATTTCATTTCACCATATAACATAAATTACTGGTGGTAATATAAAGTACTCACCAGCTCTAGTGGACTGAGACGTGTGCCAGAGATAGGCCTGGAATCAGATGACTCAAAACTGGATGCATGTAGGCTAGCACAAGAGATGGTGCAGAGTATTAGTTTGTGAAAATTTAGTTCTTTTATTTCTAGCATAGGTTAGTTAACTCTAGCTGAAAAACAAGGAAAAGTATCCAATGCATAAGCTTTGAGGAAAAAAATTTTTAATGATATAATATTTAAAACATTTTATTAACAAGACTTGATTACTTTAAGAAGAATGAAAAATACTGAAGAGTGAAAGAAGAAATTATACAGTGATTTTTAAAAAGTTTTGTTCATATCATTTTATAAAGGTGGTATAACAAGTCCTACAACCATTTCAACTTCCTGAACCCAAAATTTGGAACAGTTTTAGGAACCTTGAATAAGAATCAAACTTAAAAAACAAAAAAAACTATCTTGAAAATCAATGTAATCCATCACACCAACAGGTTAATAAAGAAAAATCACTTAATCATATCAATAGATGCAGAAAAAGCATTTGACAAAATCAAACACCTATTCATAATAAAAAAATTCTCAGTAAATAAGAAATAAAAGGAAACTTCTTCAACCTGATAAAGAACACTAAAAAACCCCACAGCTAACACCATACTTTATGGTGAGAGACTCATGGAGTTTTCTCACTAAGATGAGGAACAAGGCAAGGATCCTACCTCTTACCATTGCTTTTCAACACCCTACTACCTAGAGCTAATGCAAAAAAAAAAAAAAAGAAAGAAAGAAATCAAAGGCATACAGATTAGGAAGGAAGAAATAAAACCATACATGTTCATAGATGATATGATCATGTGTGAAGAAAATCCTAAAGAATTGACAAAAAGCTCCTAGAACTAGTAAGTGATTTTAGCAGGGTTGCAGGGTTCAAGGTTAATACCGAAAGAAAAGTCTGTCACTTCTCTACGTACCAGCAATGAACCAGTGGAAAATGAAATGAAAACACAATACCATTCATATTAGCACCTCAAAAATGAAATATTAGGTATAAATCCATGAAAATATGTTAAGATCTATATGAAGAAAACTAAAAAACATGGTGTAAGAAATCAAAGAACTAAATATATAGAGAGATGTTCCACTTTCATGCATGGAAAGACTCAATCTTGTCAGTACGTCAGTTTTTCCTAACTTGATCTATAGATTCAATGCAATTCCAATACAACCCCCAGGAAGTCATTTCATCGATATGAACAAACTGATTCTAAAGTTTCTGTAAAGTGGTAAAAGACACAGAATAGCCACCATAATACTGAAGGAGAAGAACAAATTTGAATGACTGACATTCCCTGATTTCAAGACATACTATAAAGCCACAGTGATCAACAGAGTACAGATCTATCAATAGATCAATGGAATAGAAGAGAGGGCCCAGAAACAGACCCGCAAAAACAGAGTCAACTGACTCTGACAAAGGAGTGAAGGCAGGACATGGAGAAAAGGTACCTTTTCAACAAATGGTGCTGGGACAACTGGACATCCACATGCAAAATAATAATAATCATCATCTAGATAAGGACCTTACATGCTTCACAAAAATTAACTCAAAATGGAACACAGACCTAAATATAAAACACAAAACTATGTGACTCCTAGTATATAACATAGGAGAAAGTATAGATGACCTTGAGTATGGCAATGACTTTTATATACAGCATCAAAGGCTATATATAAAATTCATGAAAAAAAGAACTGATGAGCTTGACGTTATTAAAATGAAAAATTTCTACTTTGTAAGACTCCATCAAGAAGAAGAAAAGCCACAGACTGGGAGAAAATATTTGCAAAAAATATATAAAATAAAGGATTATTATCCAAAATACACAAAGAATTCTTAAAATTCAACAATAAGAACACAACCCACTTAAAAAATGGGCCATGTCCTTAACAGATGCCCGACCAAAGATGACATACAGATAGCAAATAAGCACACTGAAAAGATGCTCCACATCATATGTCATCAGGGAAATCCCAAGTAAAACAGTGAGGTACCACCACACACCTATTAGAATGTCCAAAATCTAGTCCTGACAGTATCAAATGCTGGCAAGAATTCAGGGGAATAGGAATTCTCATTCATTGCTGGTGGGAACGCAAGCATGGTTTAGCTACTTTGGATGATAATTCAGCAGTTTCTTACAAAACTAACATACTCTTACCATATGATCCAAAAATCATTCATCTTGGTATTTACTCAAAGGAAATGAAAACTTATATCCACATAAAAACATGCACATTTTTCTAAACTATAAGCTTTTGAGGAACTATACCTTGTTTAAAAGTTCTTCATATGTAACTGCCAAATCTTGGAAGCAATCGAGATGTCATTCAGTAGATGAAGGGATAAATAATCAGGGTATATCCAGATAAGGAAATATTATTCATTGCCAAAAAAGCAATGAGTTATTTGAACCATGAAAAACCATGGAGGAAATTTAAATGCATATTACTAAGTGGAAGACTCCAGTTGGAAAAGGCTACATACTATATGATTCTAAGATTCCAACTGTAGTATATGACATTTTTAAAAAGGCAAAACTATGAAGACAGTAAAAATATCAGCAGTTGCCAGGGACTGGGGGGAAGAAGGGACTGGGGGAGGGGGGGGATACACAAACAGAGCAAAGGACTTTTAGGGCAGTGAAACTACTCTGTATGGTACTATAATAGTGGACACATGTCATTATAAATTTGTCCAAATACATAGCATGTACAACACCAAGAGTGAACCCTAACATAAACTATAGTCTTTGGGTGCTAGTGATGTGTCAATGTAGGTTCGTCAATTGTAACAAATGCTGGGGGCTGTTGATAATGGAGGAGGCCGTGTATGTGTGGGAGCAGGGGATATATGTGAAATTTCTGTACTTTCTACTCAATTTTACTGTGAACCTAAAACTGCTCTAAAGATACAGTTTATTAAAAAGACTCAATTATCTGTAACTACAGGGTGCCCCAAATGTCACCATATGTACACACATACAGAAAATGGGCAATAGTAGCTAACTGTACCTTTATTTACAAAATATTTCTCTACATGTTGATCTATAAACATTAGAAACATAAAATATAATATTGGTTTGTTAATTTTCCTACTTATGGCGCCCTTTGGGACACCTCGTGGAACTGAGGGACAATGTAACCTGATACTTCAATAGCTGAGTGTCCGTGAAAGTGAAATGTCCTGTACCTGAAGCAGGAAGGAGGCCTATTTTCTGGTGTTCTTGAAGATGCAGGTCCAAATAATTTTCTTTGGTCGTCCTTTGGTGTAAAAGGTCTTTCAGTTCGAACTGTTCTTAATGCATTTCGGGCTTCACTTATGATCTCTGCACTGGTCTTCTGCTTGGACACTGAAGGTCGATAGAACGGATCCAGTTTTTCTAACTTTTTATCATTTGGAGACAGCATCTTTCCTTTGGAAGTTAAATGTTCTTCAGATAGACACCACACTCTGCAAATATATGATTAAAATAAACCAACTATTTTTAATCCAGTACTTTAGAAAGGTATGGTTAAACCCATCCATATAACTAAACCATACCTCTATATTAAGCTTAAAAAAATCAGAAATAATTTTTAATTAAAAAATCCACCAAACAAAAGGATGAGGGAAACAGCTCTCAAAAATATAGACTACAAAGTTGTGCCTATACACAACTAGAGGAGAAAAAAGAAACAGACCCAGGATGAAAACAAAACCTAGAGAGAAGAAAGGTTAATCGCAAAAGACAGACTAGGAAAAGAGGATCATCTCTTATTCTTTGATTCACAAAAAACAGTGGAGTTCTCTTAAAATTTGTAACTGAAGTTTCCTTTGTTCCCTCTGCCCTCCAATTTTAGACAGACAAGGCCTGTAGCCAAGCGACATTTGCTTTTACAACAAAGAGCATGTTTCAATCAATTTATCCAAATCACCTTCAATTTGACAGTGTCCTAAATCAATAAACACCGGATAGGAATATCAAATAATCCTTTCCCAACCTACCTTCCTCACAAGGGCCAGGAAAATGCAAATTCTTCTCAAACGTTGGTGTATCCCATGGAGACAAATCTAAACTTTAAAATAGTCCAGATTTTAAAAAATTCTAATTAGTATAGGGCATTAGGTGTTCATATCTAATGTTAACAAATTAGGTGTTAACAAATCTTTAACACCCCCCGGCCCCAAATACTCTAACCCCATAAAATCTCCTTTCTCTAGAGAGACGGAGTTCTACAAATTATTCACATATTTCAGCCGGCCAAGTTTGGAATAAGTTCTGCAAAACAGAAAACTGGTTTGTGACATACGTCCAAGGAAACTAAAAAGATTTCATCTCTACAAGTAGAATCAACAGGTGATTCCTGTTACTAACACAAAGAAATGACAAATGACACATACCCCCATGACCCCGATTTGATTAATTCACACTGTTCTGCATCAAAATAGCATATGCACCCTACAAATATATACAACTACATTTATGTACCCATAATTAAAAATTAAAATTTAAAAAGGTGATTCCTTATACAAACAAGGAAGATTTTCCCTATTATGACTCTATACATTGAGTTGCTACATAACAACAGACAAGAACATTTGTTTTTGTTGTGCCCTGCCCCAACAGTTTCTGAGGAAAAGAATAAGGCAGAAACTATAAACAATACGTCATTCTTTTCATATGAAAAGGAAAGGCGTTGAGTTAAAAAAGTAAAAGGCACTCCTGCATGAGAATACAAAGAAACAGTGGTAAAGCAACCAAATCCTGGAGTCAGGCTCTCTGATAATTCTCAGGTATGTGACCTTGGACAAGTCCTCTGAAGTCTGTAAACTCCAGTTTCCTTATCTGTAAAAGGTGGGTAATAATCATTGCCTTATAGGACTGTTCGAAGAATTAAATGAAATAATTCATGTAAAGTGCCTTAGCATAGTGCTTGGCCCTTGAAAAACATTAACTATTACCCATGTTCTGTGTGCTAAAGGGATACAGTAAAAATTTCTCCCATGAATGTAAAATTGCATCTAAAAAAAAATTGCAGAAGAAGGACTGTTCAATGTTTTCACACATTTTTTGAGTTTAAATATTTAAGTTGGGGGGTGCTTTCCTTTACAAAACAGATAATTTTTATTAAGTATTTCATTGAATATCAGCTATGCCAAATCAACAGCAACAACTAGCCAGAATCTTACAGAGTAACAGAATAGGACACAAATAAAGGGTGGTACTTTTGCTTTTCAACCAAGGTAAAATAATTCCAAAGCAGGGTGATACGTAAGACTTGTGGGAATAGAACATAAAAGGTATTATGTACGATGTATTTTAAAGTACGTTAAATATTGTTACACATACACTCTAACTTAGTGAGGCCCTATCTGTTGCTTAGTAAAGGGCAGGTCACCACCTGCTTTAACAAAGCCCCTTAGTCTACCACTCTCTCATGCGACACATTATTACTGTTAAACACCACGCAGTTGGCTAAGCGTTCACTGTATAGAAATACAGACAACCGCTCTTGACCCCCGACAGAATGCAAGGGACGCACACTGTCATCACCTCCCTCTTCCTTCCCTGGACAGAAAGGTGGACCACTACCGGACGGGGTTCCCAGAGAGACGCCTCACCTCCCTCACGGACAGCGGTTCCCCCACTCCCTCCAAAGCCCGCTCCTCCACCGGTCCAGGCTCAGGCAGAGCGCAGCAGCATCCTCACCCCGAGCGTCCTCCGGCCCTCCCGCTTTGCTAGGCCGACCGGCGTCTCCATGGTAACCGTACACAAACTACCTCCCACCGCAGGCCGGGACGCCAGCCCGCAGAGCCAGGCCACTTCTGGACAGGCGGAGCGGGCCGGGGAATGAGTTTAGAATGGGCGCAGGAAAGAGGGCTTCCGACCCGACCCAAAGCACCTGTGATGAACCCTGGAGACGGTAACAGCCGCCGACGTCAGGTCATCCTCCGGCTTTGGCTAGGATGCTGCCGCTCTGAGAGCAGGCGGAGCGGGGCGGGGCCGGGCGGGGAGGGGCGGGGTGGCCTCCGAGAGCCCCTCGGCCTCTGGGCCTGCGCCGCTCCCGCTGACGCATGCGTAGAAGTGCCGGGGCGTGGCGTCGGCGTTGGTGCGCGGCAGAGTGGGAGGAGCCTGGCGCGGCCCGGAGGTTGTGAGTTGGACGACCGGGTACCGCGAGGGCCCGCAAGCCGCGAGGAGGAGGAGTCGCTGTGCGGCGTCCGCTTTAAAATCAGCAATTTGCAGAACCGCATTCCTTGAGCCCCTGCAAGAGCTCGGCGCCTCTGTTAAATATTAATAGGCGGGTCGGCAGCTTAATGCTTGCGGGTGGGAGTAAGGATTTTCTGGTTCAGGCTGTGTATCTAGATAACCTGGAATGAGTTAACCTCTCAGCTTCCTCTTCTGTAAACTGTAAGGAAATAATTGTACCTAGCTAGGTCTTGAGCTGTTCGGAAGATCGAATGAGAAAATAGTGTAAAGCGCTATGCACTTTTAAAACACAGTTTAACAGTGTTTTTATTAATAACAAGCTCTTGCGTTTGTGCAGCGCTTCAGAGTTGGCAGAGCATTCGGTATCTTCTCTTTTAAAAGCCTCTCTGCTACTCCGAGGTAGGCAGCCTCCTGTTTCCATTCTCAGGAGAGGAACTAGGGCCCTGAGGTCTAGTAAGTGGCAGAATGAGATTCAAGTCTAGGTCCCTTGTGGCCAATCATTTTTTGTTCATGCATCATCACGTTTGAATGGAAAAAGAACCATATTTGTATGTTTCTAGTTTAAATTCTGTTCTCTTCTATTAGACCATTCAGCAACACTTTACAGTGTTAAATGCAAGTGTGATCACAATCACTCTTCATTCAGATTTGCTCCACGTTTTGTTAAGTACGGAGATTTTTCAGCTGAAGTGTTGTTATCAACATTAGGGAAATAGCGCGTCCCTTGGTGTTAAGTAGTATCTTGTAAAGAACAATTTAAGATATTTTTGAGCACATACTATGCGTAAGACACTGTACACTGTGGGAAATGATAGTAACCTGAACTAAAGCAATGTAAATATTCTTCAAAATGCCAAATGTGATTTTACACATAGCTGATAATAAATACTTAACAAGTGATTGGATAATTTTAGGAATTGAAACAAAATACAGTACTTGGTGTTCTTCAGGACTGAAATCTTTTCCAGGGACTCAACATGAATTATGTGCACAAGTGCCATTTGCTGGTCAATGGACCCCATTGTGCAAAGGGACCCTCGCCTATTTCATATCAAACTGAGACTAGTCTTTTGAATCCACAACTTGTGAGATGTGATAAAATGCAACTTTATTTTGGTCTCTTATGGTCATTTTAAAATGTATCCAATGTTGGTTATCTTTCCTGTACCTTAATGAAAAGTTGGATAAAGACCTTTAATTTTCTGCTCATTCTTAGATAAGTGATAGTCTTGTAGCAACTAAATCTCAACTGCAGTTCCATTTCAATATTATACTATTGGATGCAAGTTATAAACAAATGTATCAAACTTCACTCAAAAGTAAGCCTTCCTCCCCTATCCCTCCCCAGGTTTAAGGTCTATAGTTGGCCTTCCCAGGAGGGATGCAGTAGGCTTAAGCTCGCGCTTCCCCTATTCACTGGACTAGAAGCTCTTTAAGACCCAGTTTCTAAATTGCTTTCATTTGGAACGTTTCATTTCTATTGTCTTAATAGGGTCAAAGTGGACAGAGTGGAGGAGAAGGGCAGGTGAGCAGGTGGAGCATTTCTTCTTGGAGCTGAGTGGCTTAAAGCTTCCTATGCTGGCCTATAGTTAAAGCAGCTCCTGCGGTCTTTCCTGGGTTCTTCAGCGTTTCCATTGATGGGGACCTCTCTCCTGGGCAGGTGGGTGCAGCACTAATATGCTGGTTGCTGTGACTCCTTCTCTGCCCCACAAAATCCAGAGTTCGCTCTAGCTTCCTCTCCCCTTTAGACAGATCCCAAGAGCAATCCTATATACCTGGTTGCCCTACTGACGACAGCATAGGCCTATCCCAGTGCAGCCCCTTTCATGTTGCCACAGGATGGAGTTTTAGCTTTGCCAGGAGTAAGTTGGGTTCCAGTTCTCCAGGAAACCTAACTACAGTCTTTGCCAGAGGCCCCAGGAAGCGCCTCTCGCTGGTTTGAGATGAAGGAGGAAGCACCCCACACTCCTTTCTCTGAAGAAATTTCCTCATGCATCCCCCTCCTCCACTCTCATCCCTTATTTTTAGCCTCAGCATGGATAAGGAGTCCAGAATTGTGGGAAGGGTCTGTATGTTTCAGTGTAACCTGCCCAGTAGACACTCTGCCTTACTTTCACTTGGAACTGATGAATATACAGTAACCATGTCGTTTGAAAATCAGTCTAAAAACCTGATGAACAAGCATTTGCTAGCTATGGTCTTGCACCCTAGAATCTTGAT